ACGGGGTTTCACCATGTTGACCAGGATGGTCTCGATCTCTTGACCTCGTGATCCACCCGCCTTGGCCTCCCAAAGTGCTGGGATTACAGGCTTGAGCCACCGTGCCCGGCCCCCACATTGAAGTTTTGTATTTGTACTTTTAAAAATATGGTTAAGTATTTATTAATGTTAACATCAGAAACAGGCACAGTTTGTGTTGACACAGAAAAGAAAGTGTCACTACTGTCATTCTCCTGTGTTGAGATTCCCTAATTAGAATTACTTGTAGTATTAAATTGGTAAAGAAGGGTTCCGTGTAATGGAGCTACTTTAATGTTCTGGTAAGATAATCTAGTTATCACCTAGTCTGTACAAAGCAACAAAAAGAATCTCAAGCGTTCAGGTGCTTTCTAGATAGGCACTCTGGAAAGAACTTGAGTTTGTCTTCATTCCACACACTATACTAAATTGATAATTAAGATTTTATACTTTATTCATCATCAGACCTTTCCCTACGGAGATTCATAGAGTGTTAGGGCAAGAATTGGCCTTTAAACATTATCTAGGTCTCTTTAGTGGAAACATTCTAACCACCCAAACTCTGACTCTAACCAAAAAAGGAGAACCCTGAAGCATGCAGGAAGGGGAGGACAAGGGATTAGTAGTGTGGTAGTTTTTGTGAATGGACAGGTAAGAAACTGGGTGCATGAGTCCTCTTTGTTTTCATTACCTGGGATTCCAAACACTACTTGATAATTCGTTATAAAAAGGCTGCAGTCAGATACTTCTTTCTGGGTCTGAAAATACAGTTTATTCAGCTCAAAACAATACATGAGTTCTATGACTTTTACTTATAGAATTTATAAGAGATTTAACTTACAAGTAAGAGATCTTTATAAGAGCTCATTACATCTGGCTTTGATATCAGTTCTTAATAGCTCATTATAGTATTCTAAAATATTACTTAATTGGCATAAGTGCTAAATTTTAATTGAACAACCTTTTAGCATATATGCTAACAGTCACATGCCATTCTTGTTTAATGGACAAGGGGGAGTTGCTCCTTTCATCATCTGCTTTTACTTTTAGTGGCAAGTAATTATTAGGTTTTACCTAACATTCCTTTCTCAGCTGGAGTATATAGAAAGTATCACTATAAGTCATTTTGCCCAGATTTTACCTTACCCTTTCATTTCCTAAAATTACTGTTCTGTTCCATTCACTTTGGCCAGATTTTCTAAAGAAAGCTTCCTGCTTTCTATATACTTGAATTGTTCTTAGATTTTTTTTTGGTCTGCATGTTCAAATGCCTTTTCTGAAAAACCATACCCACTTCCAAGCACAAATAGCCAAGTTTGCAAGACTTTCTTAACTTCTTTCCAAGGAACCTGTACCAGAAATATATATGAAGAAGCACATTCATTTGTTCATTCAACAAATACCTATGTTGAATGTCTATGTTTAGGGCATTATCTAGACATTAGAGGTATATATAAACATAATTAATCCACGGTTCTTACTTTAATTATATTTGTGAGGTAAGTTGCATCTTTATTATTCATGGTGTTATTTCATTATATATGATGGTCAATTTAATTTTAGAATTACACATCTGAAGAGAGGGGAAGTTTTCAAAGTGGTTTTATTAGCACGTTATTTAACATAATAATGTATTAATGTAATATTTACAGATATATTTAAAGAAATGAATGACTTATTTTAACGAGATTTTCTCCCCTCTCTCTCATTAGGTTCTTGGAGTGTCAATGTTTTAATACCAGTACACAATTAAATCTGTGGTGAAGTCGTTTTCTAAGTGGAAGAGGAAATTTTAAAGTGTGGTAGATACAGTGAAATTCTGTACAGATTTTTCTCTAAGGAGAATATGACATGCTTATGCTTACCAAGATCAAGTGCATTGAGGGGCAGTTTTGTTTGCCTGAAAAAAAGTAAAGGACAAGTAAACAATTTGATGATAAGCTACAGTTTTTCTTAGAAAGTAAATATTTTATTTATGCGCTGTTAGTTGGCTTTCGAATCGATTATTTCATGCTTTTTTTTTAAAAAAAAAACACAAAATAACAATCTGAAAAGGCGTTTGGTACAGATACGAATTCTCTTACATTTATTTACTGGTTGTACTAAATAAATATGACCTCTGCTGGATTTCTGTTTACATCCAATAAACAATGTTAAGGATGTATTTATTCCCCTACCCTGAAGAAAGTTTAGGATAGAATTGTTTTTAGCATTCTAAATTTAAATGCTTAAAACATCAATCAACAAAACTTTGTTTTAAATATTGTAATTGTGGAGAAAAGTAAACTTATAAGCAGAACTTTTACAATTTTTTCATCTAAAAGTATTTTAAGATATTTTTAAAATCCAAGAGCTTCTCTATACTTTTCAGAAATATCCAGATGCAGTGAACTGCCAGAAGGTAACCAGTCTCAAACATGCTTATCCCATTATCAACCCTGAAAGTTTGCTTGTCCTTTAAGATAAAAATGTAATGTTGTGATATTCCTTCCAGTAGTGCCACTGTATTTTGTCTCCAAATAAAAGAAGCTTATTGTAGTATGTTTGCAGAAAAATTCTAAACAAAAATTATACAGCTTATTAGAGTGTGGGAATAGGGATCTAAATTTTAAATAAAATTATATATATATATAAATTGGTGCTGATTTTATAATTGCGCAGTTTGTTTAGTTTTTTCTTACTTTTAAATTCCAACTTAAAATTATGAGGTTTCAGAAATATATTGAAAGTTTAACAATGTTTAAAAATAGAAAAGCATGAGTGTTCATGCTTTAAAATGATTTTTAAATTTGTATTTTATATTGTTTTATCTATCTGTCTTTGCAAGCAGTCTTCAGGTTAAAGATACTTCTAACAGGTTACAGTACATTTCCTCTGTATGTAAATTAGATGGGATAATAGAATTCATAACCCATAATATTCTTTGAAAGCTAAGCTTTAAACTTCATTTTATGTCCTTTCACAAATAAATTAGTTTAAAACAGAAAGTGGCTACTTGCCATTTTGACATCAACTCATTTTGCGAGGCTTAGGCAGCTAGACATCGTTTAAAACAAAATATTAACTTATATTACATGTGTATCTATCTTTTGTCAGTCGTCTCTCGGTTCTTGAGGTATATTATTTTAATCATTCCATGCCTTAATATGCTTGCAATACAAGAATATCTTCAGATGGGTGAATACCAAAAGGCTTCCAGTTTTTAGTCAGAAATCAACAAGCATTGGGCTGTGGTAGCCAAAAACCATAGGTTAGCTAAAAAGATCATGATACAATACAATTATTTTATTAAGTCATGGTTAATAACAAGTGAATCCAGACTTGTCTAACAGATTTTCCATCAACAAATATTGTTATGTGCAAAAGTATTGCCTATGTTGTTTTACACACCACTGCATTAACTAGAACTGCTGAGAGGACTGTATATATGATTTTAAACCTAAGTTGATTTTTTTTCTCACTCTTGAAAGGAGTACTTCTTTGTGAGAGCAGTTCTTACAGCTTTGTTTTCAACCAGCTAAAAATGTTTTATATATTACTCTAACCTGTTGTCCTCCACATTCTATTGTCCTAATTGTACTGTTTTCTGATTTGTATTTATGTCTTGAGACAGTAACTTTTTGAATAAAAATAAACCTACAGTATGTTGTATGTTTTCTCTTGTACTCAAAGGGGGAGGATGGCTATAAATGGTTCGCAAGTTAGATCTATTATCACATCTTTTAATGTGTTTGGAGAATAATTTATAGAGAACACCATCAGTTTATATTTTTAATAAACCATGTGTATTTACAGTGAAACTAAATCCCTAACTGGGTTATTACTTTAAAATAGGAACCTGTAACCATTATTGCTTTAATTTTCATCTGGTATGGGTTAAACACATTTACAAATGTTTACATTGTTTATACAGGGTACATTTGAGTGCCTACTGTGTGCTAGGCATGTGTTAAGAGATCCCTCCTTCATAGATCCATTGGGGAAAACTAACATAATGAAACTTATAATAAATGCTAGGAAGGAAACAAGCAGGATATGCTGAGGTAGAGAACGAGAGAGAGAAACCTGCCTTCAATAAGGGGCTCATGGCATGGCGGTAAAAACCAATATTTGAAAAAGAATTTACTAATTGAATTCATAGTGAAAACTCATCAGAGAAAGGGTTGACAAGATTCGAATTGTACTCTTTAAGAGAGTCGTGTCAGTTTAACACAGCCCATTGTTCATTTGGGCTAGTTTGTGGATCATATTAGAATTGTCTTCTGTCAATAGTGATTCAGAAGTGAACATATAAAATGATAGCTAAAACAATTTGGTGCTGTTTTAAGTAGTTTACATGTAGTTACTAAGTCTCATGACAAGAGTTGATAATGCTGTTATTCCCCCACCCCTCCCACCATTTTTTTATAAAACAAATCAGAAGGAAGTGAGAATGAGGTACAAAGAAGTTTAAATACCTTAGACCAGGGGTACCAGAACATGGCCTGTTTGGGACTGGGCCGCTTGGTAGGAGGTGAGTGGCAGCCTAGTGAGCAAACATTAACCACTCTGCCTGTTGTCAGATGGTATTAGATTCTCAGAGGAGCTCAAACCCTATTGTAAACTGCACGTGCGAGGAATCTAGGTTGAATGTTCCTTATGAGAATGCTTGATCTGAGGTGCAACAGTTTCATCTTGATCCCTCTCTCCTACCCCACCCCGACAGTCTGGAAAAATTGTATTCCATCAAACTGGCTGCTGGTACCAGAAAGGTTGGATACCACTGCCTTAGATAAGGTTATATGGCTAGTAAATATGGAGTTAGTATTCCAACGTAGGCAGCCTGGCTGCATTAACTCCCAGAAAGCATTGAAACTATTTGATAGATAAGGGTAACTTAACATAATTGCACACACCTAAAATGGTACGTAGTTCATTGTGCAGGACGAAGTGCATGTATCTCCTTAAGAGTCCAGCTGGCTGTAGAGCCGAGTGGTGTAAATAAACATTGTCCTCAATATGCTACCTTACTGGCTTTCCTAAAGAAGATGTAAGTTGAATCTGAGTCCTGAGCTTATCAGTGGTTTAGTTAATAAAGCTGAGAGACTGGGGAAGAAGAGTAGGATAACTGAAATGTCTTCAATATTCTGCCACAAAGGGAACTAGTAAGAGTTCACATGGATGAATACAGATCAGAGTATTCTGGTAGCTGTAATGATTCAGTAAAAGAAAATGATCCAAGAAAGCACCATGCCTTTGGTTATGAGGAAACTCAGTGTTGAAGTCCACTGAATATCACTTCAGGTCAACAAATGCGTGCCTGGCCTAGTGCTAGCTGGTGAGAAGGCAAAGACCAACCAGACAGATTTTGTGCTTACACTTCTGCTGGGGCTTAGGATGCAGATGCAAAAAGAATAAAATGAAGTAAGTTTAGTGTTTTTATTGGGTGTTAGGGGAGCACAGAGGAGGGGCACAAACAGTGGATGTGCTCAGTGAAACTTCCTATAAGGCTGACGCTTAACTTGAATTCTCCCCCGAAATGTTTTATGAAAACTTGCAACAAAGTTGGAAGAATTTTACTTTGAATACACTCTTGTACTTGACTTTACCACATACCCATCTGTCTCTCATGTATGTATTTCAAAGTAAATTGCAAACACTGGCACACTACATCCTACTTCAGTGTGCATATCATTAAAAGTTGACTGGTTTCTCTTTTGGTGTATAATTTTTATATAGTGAATACACAAACTATATATTTGCTGTTTTGACAAATGCTTACACTGCATAACCCAAATCCCTGTTTTAACATTACCATCAAACCCAGAAAGTTTCTTTATTCTCCTTAACCAACCTGTGTTTCTGTCCTCTAGAAATAATAGCTGTTATGTTTCCATCATTTGGCTGTTATAGAACTTCATGTAAGTGGAATCATGCTGTATTTTTGTGCAAAATTTCTTTCAGCAAGTTTTTGAGATTTACGGATGTTTCATATATCAACAGTTCATTCTTTTTAATGTGTTTCATTATAAAGATATACTACAATTTGTTATGGGTTGTTTCTACTTTTTTGGTTATTATGAATAAAGCTGCTACCTGAGTTGCATTTTAAAAGCTGAGAGGTGGGCTAGGTGAAAGGAAGACTGGGTGACGAAGCTGAAAATTTCAGGCAAAGGAGGCAAATGACCATCTTAGATGTGAGAACTATTTAGTAATTGCTTAAGGGTGGATGGGGCAAGACTGGAAAGGATAGTTGACCATCCAGTTATCCAGTACCTCACATCAGCTTTAAAAATGAAAAGACACCCACAAAGTGATACCTTTGGTAACTTAAGTGTTTTTATGTGTAATGTGCTCAGAATTGGCAAAGATCCAAAATAGTAGCAGGGTGCCTTTAAATGACTTGTGAGAAATTGGTTTGTTTAATAATGTGGGTGTTTTCATCACATCAGGCCTTATTCTGCCATTGAGGAAAATGAAAGGCCAGCTACTATAAGTTTATTTTTCATTTTTTATTTTTACTTGTTTTAATTGACTATACACACACACACACACACACACACACACACACACACACACAGACAAGAACTATTCATGTGTATATGTTGTAAAAGATGTATATATTGTGGAATGGCTAAATCAAGCTAACGTGCATTACCTCACATTTTTTGTGGAGAGGAGTCTTTTGCTATTATTGTATTGTGTATTCTCCCTTCAAATTTATTAATGTTTGCCATATAAACTTAGGTGCTCCAATGTTGGATATATCTATTTACAATTGTTACATCCTCATGATGAATTATCACCTTTATCATTATATAATGACAAGAACTATTCATGTGTATGTGTTTTAAAACGTATATATTGTGGAATGGCTAAATCAAGCTAACATTCAGTACTTCACATATTTTTTGTGGAGAGGAGTCTTTTGCTATTACTATATTGTGTATTCTCCTTTCAAATTTATTAATGTTTGCCATATATACTTAGGTGCTCCAATGTTGGATATATCTGTGTTTACAATTGTTATATCCTCATGATGAATTATCCCCTTTATCATTATATAATGACCTTCTTTGTGTCTTTTTACAGATTTTACTCAAATTTTATTTTATCTAAAATATAGCTACCCCTGCTATCTTTAGGTTTTCACTTGTGTAGAATAGATTTTTCCATCCCTTCACTATAAGTCTGTGTGTATTCTTAAAGATGAAGTGAGTCTCTTTTAGGCAGTATATAGTTAGGTTTTACTTTTAAAAAATCCATTCAACCACTTTTTTGTTTGGAGAATTTATTCCATTGACATTCATAGTAATTATTGATAGGTAAGGACTTATTACTGCTATTTTGTTCATTGTTTTCTGGTTGTTTTTAGATCCTTTGTTCCTTTCTTCCTCTCTTGCTACCTTCCTTAGTCATTAGGTGATTTTCTCCAGTGATATTTTTTATTCCTTACTTTATATCTTTTGTGTATCTTCTTTTTTTTTGAGATGGAATTTTGCTCTTGTTGCCCAGGCTGGAGTGCAATGGCGCTATCTCGGCTCACTGCAACCTCTGCCTCCCGATTCAAGCCATTCTCCTGCCTCAGCCTTCCGAGTAGCTGGGATTACAAACGCCCGCTACCATGCCCAGCTAATTTTTGTGTTTTTAGCTGAGACGGGGTTTCACCATGTTGGCCAGGCTGGTCTCAAACTCCTGATCTCAGGTGATCTGCCCGCCTTGGCCTCCCAAAGTGTCGGGATTACAGGTGTGAGCCACCGCGCCCAGCCTTGTGTATCTTCTATAGCTTTTTGCTTTGTGGTTACTATGAGGTTTACATGAAACATTTTGCAATGATAACAGGCTATGGTAAGCTGAAAACAATTTAACATTTATTGCATTAAAAAACTACACTTTTACTCTACCCCCCCCCCAATTTTATGTTTTTGAAGGCAGAAGTTACATCTTTTTATATTGTCCATCCTTTAACAAATTATTATAGCTATTATTTTTAATAATTTTATCTTTTAACCATCATAGTAAAGATATAACTGATTTATACACCATCATTAGAGTGTTAGAATATTCTGAATTTGTATATTTACTTTTACCAGTGAGTTTTATACTTTTATATGTTTTTGTCTAATTAGCATTATCTTTTATCTTGAAGTACTCCCTTTAGCATTTCTTGTTAGACAGGTCTGATGGTGATGAACTCCCTCAGTTTTTATTTGTCTGGAAAAGCCCTTATCACTCCTTCATTTCTGAGGGACAGCTTTGCCAGGTACATGTTCTTGGTTAGCAGGTTTTTCCTTTAGCACTTTGAATATAATCATCTTACTTTCTCCTGGCCTGTAAGGTTTCTGCTAAGAAATTCACTGCTGACCTTACTGGATCTCCCTTATATGTGATATGCATTTTTTTTCTCTTGGCTGCTTTCACTATCCTCACTTTGTCTTTTATTTTTGATAGTTTGATTATAATATATCTTGATGTAGTCTTATTTGGATTGAATTTAATTTCAGACCTTTGACCTTCCTTTGCATGGTATTTATGTCTTTTCTCAGGTTTAGAAAGTTTTTTGCAATTATTTTCATAAACAAGCTTTCTGTTCTGCTGTCTCTGTTTTCTACTTGAATACCTATAATTCATATACTGCTCTTTTGATCCTGTACCATAAATCCTG